TTCCTGTTCGTCTGTTGCCGGGACGGCCGGCGGCTCCCGTTTTATACAACAGCCTTGAGGCCATAACGTTCGGTCCGCTCGCGCCCCCCGCTGCTGCTCACCTTCTTCTTCTCCTTCTTCGCTATCGCCGTTTTTGTTTTTCTCCTTCGCTCTTCGGAGATGGGGATACAAGCATCCGAGTGTTCTTTGACATGCGCGTGTCTGTCTGTGTGCGTGTTTGTGCGTATGGTTGTGTATGTGTGTGCAAGAGGGATAGAGAGAGAGAGGGAGAGAGAGAGAGAGAGAGAGACAGAGACAGAGACAGAGAGGGAGAGAGAGAGGGGGGGGGAGAGGGAAAGAGAGAGAGAAAGAGAGAGAGAGAAAGAGGGAGGGAGGGAGGGAGGGAGAGAGAGAGAGAGAGAGAGAGAGAGAGAGAGAGAGAGAGAGAGAGAGAGAGAGAGAGAGAGAGAGGGGGAGGGAGGGAGGGAGGGAGGGAGGGAGAGAGAGAGAGAGAGAGAGAGAGAAAGAGAGAGAGAGAGAGTGAGGCAGAGAGAGAGAGGGAGGGAGAGAGAGAGAGAGAGAGAGAGAGGGAGGGAGAGAGAGAGAGAGAGGGAGAGAGAGAGATAGATAGAGAGAGAGAGAGAGGGAGGGAGGGAGAGATAGAAAGAGAGAGAGAGAGAGGGAGGGAGGGAGGGAGAGAGAAAGAGGGAGAGAGAGAGAAAGTGAGGGAGAGACAGAGGATGAGACACATATTATTTACATTTATATATATGTATGCGTGCGTGGGCGTGATACGAGTTGTTAAAGAGACTTACCACTATATGTATTCCATTGGACTTTATTAGCAGTACACAAGCTGCGGTCTACCTCAGGAAACGCCGCTTTGGGATCAGTCGGGTAATTTAGAAAATTCAGATTAACTGCGGTTGGGTAATGAGTAGAATGTATATGTATTTAAAGTTACTGAAGTGCTGAAATTGCAAAAGTGGAATATATGAAATATTAATCGAAATAAAAGCAATAATAATATGAAAGAAGACAAATCATATTCAATTGGAATGGCATATAGAAAGTGTTCATTTATGAAAAAGATAATGATGAATAATACATACATTGAATAAAGGTCATTATATGAATATGAAATTTCAAACTGACAGCAAAAACATATAAAAATGTATTTGACATGAATTCATCTAAGCGTTCGTATTCTCTACACACACACAGACACGCGCGCGCGCACACACACACACACACATATACATATTATCATTATTATTACAATTATGAGACTCTACGAGAGAGCAGCATGGAAAAATCAAAGGCTGACATAGACCAGCAGCCTCCCCTTGATGAGCAAACATGAATATAAAAAAAGGCGAAGGGGAAGGAAAAAAAAATAAAATAAAAATAAAATGAGTTTATTCTAGTTTTAAATCTATTAATAGCAGCTTCAGAAACAATATCGCCATGAAGTAAATTCCTTACTTTAGTTACAGAAGGGATAAATGTCCGAGAAAATTAACTGGTTGAAAAGATTGTCAGAAATATGTGCGCGTTCACTCAAAAGCTCCTTCGGCAGCCCTGACATCCAAACGGGACAGCAGTACTCAAAGAAAGGCAAAATAAAGTGATAAAAAAGTTTAAAACCATCTCATCGTCGTTGAAAATGGATATACATTTCCTCAATAATCCAGCCTTCCGGGAAATAAGAGAGAAGCTTGCTCTGATATAATCCTTAAGTCAATTTAGAATCTATAATTACACCAGTTTTAATGTCTTTACTGAGCTGATGATACTATGGTAGAAAAAACCACAATGTAAAAACTAGATTTATTGAAAATGAAAATGAGACGACAGTTTCGGAATCCACCTGGATTCCATCCTCAGGTCTGAAGAGGAAAGGGAGAGGAAGGGGTATAAGAGAGAGAGAGGACAGGCAACGCGGTGACACGGGGCAGGGGAGGACAGACGGACGGAAAGCGAAGGGAGGTCAGATCAGGTCGGAGGGTCGGGCGGATTGTGTGCAGGATGGCCGGCGTACGGGAGAAGGCGGAGGATGTGTGAAGCGAGGAGGCTGTCGGCGGGAGAAAAGCCGCTGTTCAAGTTAAAATTAGGCAGCAGCTTTATTAAGGAAGATTCCACCAGTCTGCGGGCGTGGACGTCAGCAGAAGGGAAGACAATTCGCGCCGCTGACCAGTCCATCTGATGGCCTGTATCCCACTGATGACAGAAGAGAGCGTCGTTGTTGTGTCCCCTGGATATAGCATGCTTATGTTGAGACAAGCGCTTGGTGAGACTAGTGCCCGTCTCGCCAAAGTATTGCTTGTCACAGGAGCCACAAGGAACAGCATAGGTACCCACCTTCGAGGAAGAGGGAGGGCTGGTGTGGACCAGGTTACGACGGAGAGTGTTCACCTGGCGAAAGATCAGCCTGCAATTGAGAGTGGGAAGAGGGCGGCGGAGAGAGTGGATCTCCTCCGTGTAGGGCAGACTGAGGGTTGGCAGGTGAGGAGTCTCTTTAGGAGAGGATTCGTGGTAGAAGGCCCGCCGTGCTCTGGATAGCGCGGCGTCGAGGACATGGCGAGGGTAGCCCAGTTCATTTTCAATAAATCTAGTTTTTACATTGTGGGTTTTTCTACCAATTATATTGTTGGTTTTAGCAGGATTTAATTCCACTCACCAAGAAGAGATCAGCTCTAAATCAACAATCATCTGCGTGGAAGCATTTAATTTACTTTGTGGGTCAGGAATGCGGTAAAATAACGAAGTGTCATCAGCATATGCTATGCGATTGGAAGAAATCCCACGCCACATATCACAGCTATAAAGGATAAAAAGAAGTGGCCCAAGAAGACTGCCTTTGGAAACTACTGACTTGAGTTAATCAAAAGCACTAAAATACCCATCAATAACAACACGCTACTGCCTGTCTAATAAAAGTCAAATAAAATATTATAAAATGGACCATTGATTCCTACAGACTTGAGTTTAAAAAGGAGAGCCTTATGGTTGACTACGTCAAAGGCAGAAGAAAAGTCTAGGGAAACAAGTTTTGTCTCTGACCCTGCGTCCAGTGAAGCTTGAAACGCCAAAAGCGCACCACAGGTACCAATTTTTTTTCCTGGTTGGCAGTAGTTGTTGTCATTAAAACAGAGGAGAGACATTTGGCAGTCAACCTTTCAACCACTTTAGATAGAATAGGTGTAACTGAAATTGGCCTATACTCTTTTGGCGAATGCTTGGTGACGATCCTTTTGGGACTGGCGTAACATTAGCAACCCGCCAACAAATTGAAAAAAATCTAATTATGATGATAATAGTTTAGCAATGTTCTTAAAAAATAGAACTACCTCGTCACTACTCTGGCTGCTTGAAAAGAAATAGGAAAATATTCCAGCTTTCTCTAATGGATGAGAAGTAAGGCCATATTAGGTCTAGCAACGGGAGAATATCGGAATTCCGGCCAAACAGAAAACTCCAAAGAAGCCCACAAATTATGAGCTTGGGATGTACCTGTAAGAACCACCTTCACATTATCATAATCCATTTCTATAGCTCTATAGACCAGTTCAGCAGTTTTACGAGCATGACAGTAATTAACCCAAGACATAAGGTTTGTACATATATCATTTTTAACATGGTCCAAGCTGATGCATGATATTATATAGACCTTATGTGACAGCGTAAAATCAGGGTCAGGAAAATTGAGCTGAACCGCTGAGGAATGGGTGGGAGCTTCAGCAAGTTGTTCGCTACTGGAGAGGCAGTATGTCCACAGCAATTGGCTGGCGGTATGGAATTGAGCCAATGTGAATGCTGGGCATTGAAATCGTCGGTAAGCATAAATGATGCTTTCCTATCTGATTCTTGAACCTTAGAAGGCAACACAAAACTATATATAGGCATCTAAATCGTGGTTTCTGTAAAGAGCGAATACGTATAAAATTAAATAATTTGACCAAATTTCCAGTGAAATGACTTCATGACAATTATATATATATATATATATATATATATATATATATATATATATATATATATATATATATATATATATATTTTTTTTTTTTTTTTTTTTTTTTTTTTTTTTTTTAACAGCCATTCATTCCACTGCAGGACATAGGCCTCTCTCAATTCAGTGTTGAGAGGTTATATGGCAGTGTCACCCTTGCCTGATTGAATGCCCTTCCTAATCAACCGCGGTTCGGCGCGTTAACACTTGTGCCACGGCGGTGACTTCCCCTACGACACCTGAGTTTGACTTCTCAAGGCGATATGTCGTTTTCTCGGGCTCGAGCAAGCAGTCAGAAAGCAGGCATTTTTACGACCGCCGCGACGGGGAATTGAACCCGGGACCACGAGGGTCGGAGTCCAGTGCTCTAACCACTGAGCTATCGCGGCAGTATATATATATATATATATATATATATATATATATATATATATATATATATATATATATATATATATGTATATGTATATATACACACACATATATATATGTGTGTGTGTGTGTGTGTGTGTATGTATATATATATATATATATATATATATATATATATATATATATATATATATATAAATACACACATATGTGTGTGTGTGTGTGTGTGTGTGTGTGTATATATATACATATATATATATATATATATATATATATATATATATATATATATATATATATATATATATGTTGTTAAAGACTTTTCTTTTTAATCATAATGGCAAGGAGCCTTTTAGTATGCAACTGTGTCTGCCGAAGGCGCTCCAGCCTAGATGTGTTTGTCTGTACGAGTTGCCCTAGGTGTATATACTTGTCTACCACCTCTACGATTCGTATTATATATATATATATATATATATATATATATATATATATATATATATATATATATATATATATATATACATATATATACATACATATATATATCTATATATATATATATATATATATATATATATATATATATATATATATATATATACATATATATATATATATATATATATATATATAT